AAGAAGTCCTAGTTCTAGAAGAAGAAGGGGTAGCAATGTTAGTCTGAGAAGTAGAACCATGATTGGATATAGATTCTAAACTGCGTAATCTACCGCCTCTTCTACTCCTAACAGGAGCAGTTGAAAGGGGAAGTTCATCTACAATTACTACTCTACGAGGATCGGGATTTGATGAATACATGGTTATATAAGAAAATAATGTGTGCTGAAAAACAAGAACGATTAAAGAAGAAGAACGCTATAGATTGAAGGTTTTGTGAAACTAAAAATGAATGATGCAGCCGCAAGAAAACCTTAAAAATCGCTGAAGAATCGTAGACCCAATCGACGAAGGCCACGTAGCACATACATTAAATGGAAGTGACATACAAAGCGATGATTCTGAAGAAGATGCAATGATGTATGGAAAACGACGGCAAAATATTCCCGCCATAAATATGTGCCACTTCCCATATATACCATTGCAGAATATTCGGCAAGTGGGGAGACTATCTGTATTGGTAAAAAATAAATATTACATGTGAAATTATATGAGGATGACAGGGCAAGATACGTAGATTACTAAGAAGATGACAACTTGAGTATTGCATTAAAAGAGTCACGATTTACAACAGGTACGAGCAAATCACTCACGAGACGAAAAGGTACGGTTGCCCGAGCCTAAATTATTCAGTAAAGAGACACGGGCAGAAAGAATCAAGACAGTAAAGAGGGAAGATTCATGAACCTCAAGTTAATGTGGAAGAAGAATCGCAACAGTTACAGAATCTTCATGAACAGTTACGGTTACCAATTATAACGTTTCATTAATGTCATTAATACTCATAATGATTCTGTCATAAAAGGGAAGAAACGTTATATTTATAAATTCCTATATAAGGGAAGGGAATTTCACTTGTAAGGACACGTTTTGATGAACATTGGAATATAATTACTTTCTTGTGCTTTATACTGATTACTTTTCCATTTTTGATTCCGAGAGAATATTGAATTTCTTGATTATCAGTAACCCGAGTACTTCTAAAAATAGGCTTTGACTGAGAATCTAATTCTTTGGTTAAACGACACTTGCTCAAATTTTTATTTGAAAGTAGTGTCCGCCTCCGCCAATATCTATATATAGCAGTGGTCTTTACTCACTTCCCACCTTGAACTAAAGCAGCTTGTCATAGTATTAGTGAGAGCTTAGACATCAAAGAAGCCAGCTGAAATCAATTCAGAAATGGATAAGAGGAAAACTTTTGGTTTTATCTTTGTGCTTCTCATGATTTTTGCCTTACTTAAGTGTCGCTCATTTCGTCGGTCGCTTTTTATTTACTTTGTTCAAAATCTACTAGTCACGAATTGATCAAACAAATCAATCTGTCTATCTAAATTAGTTGGGATCTGAATCCTATACATCCATTCCGCATTATTCTAACCTTTTTTATTTTTACATTAACTATCAACTTACCTCAACTCGTTTTCTTATTCGGATATAGAACCATTTATGTTTGCAAAACTCACGTAGGAGCGGAGCTACAACTTCGGACGCGGGTTCGGCTGAACCCAATATAACTTTTATCCTAACTCTATATTTGTTTTTAAAAATTCATTAAATATATAATAAATTATTAACTTAGAAATGAATAGAATCGCGAAACTATTAACTTCAAATCCTGGCTACGTCTTTGGATGGAGTTATGCTTATTTATCTCATCAACTATAGTTAAAAGTAATTTTTTTGTATGTATGCAGAAATGGAAATGATGTCACAAGTAGAAGCAAGAGTTTGCATGTCACCTAGCCATGGATATCATGGTCCCTGTTGGCATGATCACAACTGTGCTCTTGTTTGCAGAAATGAAGGTTTCTCTGGTTGTGGTTGTGTTGGTATCCAACGCAAATGCTATTGCACTAAGCTTTGCTAATTAATTTCTATCTCTGCCACATAAAACAAATGGAGGCACTAATTTCTATCTGTTTTTGTTTCTCTTTATCTGTTTAATTTCGATCCCTTTGGATGGATATTTATAATTATTGTTTTTAGCCTTTAGACAAGAGTGGGTTGCTCTAGTGGCGAGCACCCTCCACTTCCAATCAAAAAGTTGTGAGTTCGAGTCACCCCAATAGCAAGGTGGGGAGTTCTTGGAGGGAGCGAGTCGAGGGTCTACCGGAAACAACCTCTCTATTTTAAGATAGGGGTAAGGTCTGCGTACATACTACCCTCCTCAGACCCCACTAGTGGGATTATACTGGGTTTGTTGTTGTTGTTTTTAGCCTTTCTTAATCAATTTAACAAAGATTTCAATTCATCTTTGCTGAATTGTCATGTCCAGATGCTGAAAACTTGACTTGTTTAGTTGTTCTGTTTATGGGATGGACTTGCAGCTTATAGCAATTCAGACAAGGAGTTTAGTTTTAATTTGAAACTTAATCGATCCAAAAGTTAAAATATGCCCGAACAAATTACTCCCTTTTTAGATACATAAATATACCATTTCATACAAAACAGGAGTTCTTACTGTATTGAAGCAGTCAAATGAAAGTAGAGTAAGTGTAATGCATCTTCCAATAGGAATGTATCATTAAGATGGACTTCACGTGTCCAAATCTTTTGAGAAAAAATATCTTTCAATTTTTTTACTAAGGTCTAAAACTACTATCAACTTGAAGTTACCAAATGTATAAGAAGAAATTTGACAACTTTCAAATGAGTTTTGAAAAACTTTGTTAAAAAAGGAAAAGTGGAAAGGAATGTGGAGTGCTAATGATTATATAAAATCAAAAAAGAAATCATAATATTACAATTTAAAGAGTTAAATATTTTTTTACTTTCTAATTGTAGTACTTTTACAATGTGTTTTCTAAATATGAAATTTTATCTCACAAAATTAAGGCATCAAATAGGTTGACTTTTCTTACAATTATTTTGAGACAGAAAAAAAATATATATATATATATACAAAAAAAAAAAGGAAAGAAAACTTTAAATAAAGTTACTGAATTTAATGCTTTATTGTATTTTCATACGGATAAACATCTTTTACGGCTTCTAATATTTTGTTTAGTAGTACTTTCTCTCTTCCACGTTTCTCTCGACGCACGTTAACGTGGCTTTGCTAACGTATGCAGCTGGAAGCCATGAGAGGAAGAGGACGACCTAAACGGAATCTAACGAAAATTCTGACTACAGATCCGAGATCAGCAGATGCAAGGAAGGCACTAATTGAACTTTTTGTCTCACCAAAAGGGGTGAGAATTGAGGAACCAACAGGAAACAACACTCTGAAGAGCATGATGTGTGAGCAGAGTAGGCTAGAATCAGATCCAACAATCAACAATGGCAAGCTGAAAGCAGTGAGAGCTACGCATGTAGCTAGTAGTGGAATAGATCGTGGATCTGGGAGCGGAAAGATAGAGATGAACTCTACTACACCAAATAGCAATGTAACAATGCCATGCAAAACTGATAAGGCTGAAAATCTCAAAGGTACTGAACAAATAGAGAAGACAAGTGGAACTCAGTCATGGGCAAATATTGTAGCAGGGAATAAGTTGGCATCGAGAGGAATGAATCTTCAATATATTGCACCAATGATTCAAGATGGAGAGAAAATTGTAGAATTAGATCTAGAGGATGTTGAGAACGAAAATGCAAAATGGAGTACAACACTTGTACTGTATGTTATTGGGGATTCACCATCCATAGGAGCAATGGAACGATTCCTTAATTCAGTGGATAGGTTCTCCATGAAACCTCAGATCTATTATCATAATGAAGACTATTTTGTAATTAGATTTGCAAACTTGGAGGAAAGACGTCAAGTTTTATATACTGGGCCTCACACCATCAACAATCGGCCCAATATAATGAAAGCATGGATACCAAATTTTAATTTGCATGATGAAGTACTGAGAACCATTCCATTGTGGGTGAAGTTCCCAAATCTTCCCCTGAATTGCTGGAGTATGAAGGCATTAAGTAAGATTGGGAGTGCCCTAAGAAATCCAGTGTATGCGGATGATAGTACAACTGGTACAGTCAGAATCTCTTATACGAGAATGCTAATTGAGATGGACATTACAAAACTCCTTCCTAGAAAGGTGAAGTTGCAGGATCCAATGGGGAAAATAATTGAAAAAGAGATAAGCTATGACTGGGAACCAACATATTGCAACAAATGTCTACAGATAGGATACAATTGCAATGAAAACATAATGCAACAACCACAAAGGCAGGCATACAGAGTGAGAGGAAATAAAGTCAAACAAGTCTGGCAGAAGACTGAGAAAGCTGGACCTAAGGACAATTAACAGGAGAATGAGCAAGTAAAGAAGATGGAAATAACAAAATCCCTAGAGAATAACACAGTGCAGATTAGTGCAGCTACTAAAGAATCTAAAGAAGACGAGTGGAAAATAGTTAGCGGGAAGTCAGCAGCAAGAATGGCAAAAACAAAGCAAGCTGAAGGCAAGAACCTAGGTGGCAGCAATGGGTTTCAATCCTTAGAAAGTGGACAAGCAACCAATGAGCCAGGACCAAGCAATATGCAGATGAGGATTTATGGGGCACAGGAGATATATCATGATACTCAATTCATACTAGTATGAGTGTGATTACATGGAATGTTAGAGGTTTAAATAAAGCATACAAGCAAAAGGAGACAAAGGAGTTTATAAAGTAGAATAAAAAGGCAGTGATAGCATTAATAGAACACAGAATAAAGGAGCAAAAAGCTAGAAGTATCATCAATAAAATTGCACCCGGATGGCAGTGGATATCAAATTTCAACAGCAATAATAAGAGCAGAATATGGATACTATGGGACCCAAGAATCTTTGAGTTTGAACCAATTGACATAGATTGCCAGTACATACATGGACAAGTCAGAGCTCACTCAAGATTATTAGTATTTGGCTTTACAGTAATATATGGCTTGCATACTCTCAAAGACATGTTGAGTATGTGGCAGAAATTGAGGTAGATAAACAGTATACAACAAGGATCATGGCTAGCAATGGGAGATTTCAACTCAGTACTGAATAGTCAGGATAGACAACATGACACTATAATACAAGATATGAAAACAAAGGATTTCAGGAAGTTCATAAGTGATATTGGCATGAATGAGTTACCTATCGTGGGAAGGGATTACACATGGACAAATAATCATACCTATAGCAGGATAGACAGAGGATTGGTAAACATAAACTGGATGATGACAATTCCCAGCCTATGTATACAAATCCTAGAACCATCTTTCTCTGATCATTCCCTACTTAAGCTGATGATCTCACAAATGCAAAGGAAGAAAGTCAGTCTATTCAAGTTTTTTAACTGCATAGCTGATCACCCTCAATTTATAAAAGGAATAGAACAAGTATGGAACACAACTGGAGATGTTGGGAAGCTACAGGGAGTATGGAACAAACTAAAGAGAGTCAAACAAGTTATTAAGGGGCTCAACACACAGCACTATAAAGGGGTTGAGGACAGAATCAAAGAAACCAGAAGGGAATTACAGGAAGTGCAGGAGAAAATGGGTTGTAGAATGATGAATACAGAATTAGTTGAGAAAGAAAAGGAACTGAAAAGTAATCTAGAGAAGTGGATATTAATAGAGGAAAGCATTTATAGGCAAAGATCAAGGGTAGAGTGGCTAAAGTTGGGAGATACTAACTCTGCATATTTCTTTGCTCATATGAAGAATAGGAACACTTTAAATGGAATACATGCTCTCACGACTGATCTAGGGGTTCAAATACATATGGAGGAGGAAATAGAGGCATAAATACTTGGATACTATAAACAATTGCTAGGGCTAAATGCTCCTACAATCCCAGTAATAGATCCAAATATAATGCAAAGAGGGACAATGCTCAAAAGAGAACAACAAGTTAAATTGAGTCCGCCTGTCACAAGGAAAGAGATATGGGAAGCTCTACAAGATATAAATGACTTGAAGACCCTAGGATATGATGGACTCAATGCAGTTATTTTCAAGAAATCATGGCAAATCATAGGGGACGAGGTAACACAAGCTATGCTGGATTTCTTCCAGATATCACAGATGTTTAAGCCAGTTAATTGCACATCAATAACTCTAATTCCTAAAGTCAGAAACTCTGCTACCATCAAGGAGTATAGACCTATTTCATGCTGTACCACAATTTACAAAATCATTTCAAAGGTCCTGACCAGCCGATTACAAGGAGTCATAGATGATCTAATAGACAAGACTCAATCTGCCTTTGTCCCTGGAAGAGTCATTATCGATAATATCATACTAAGTCATAAGTTAGTAAACGTGTATGGAAGGAAAGGAGTGTCACCTCGATACATGATGAAACTGGACATGCAGAAGGCATATGATTCACTTGAATGGCCTTTTCTTGAGCAGGTTTTAAGTGCATTAGCATTTTCAGAGCAGTTTGTGAAATGGATAATGGCTTGTGTACAAAGTGTTACGTATACCATCATCCTGAATGGTTCACCAACTCAGCTATTTGAAGCTAGAAAAGGACTTAGACAAGGGGATCCATTATCCCCATTTCTTTTTGTGTTGGCAATGAAATACTTTACAAGAAGATTGAAGACATTGCACCATATCTCGGATTTCAACTATCATCCCAAATGTGCAAAGATGCAGATCATGTAACTTGGTTTTGCAGATGACCTTTTGTTGGTTTGCAGGGGAGACATTGGTTCAATTCATCTATTATACAACTGTTTTCTGGACTTCTCAAAAGCGTCAGGATTGGAAATTAATAAGCAGAAAAGTTCCATTTTCTTTGGTGGAGTATCACAAGATGTTCAAAAAGAAATACTGGAGTTCCTTGGAATCCAAAGAGGGGAGCTGCCAGTAAGATATCTTGGAGTACCTTTAAGCTTTAAAAGGGGATCACTAATCCAATGTCAACCTCTACTTGACAAGCTAGTGGGAAGAATCACATCCTAGACAACCAAGCTATTGTCATATGCAGGGCGACTATAACTCATCAAAAGTGTCTTGTTCTTCATTCAAACTTATTGGGCTCAAATTTTCATGCTATCAAAGAAGATTACCAAGATGATTGAGGCAATTTGCAGAAGCTTCTTATGGATATGAGATAGCAACATTTCAAAGAAAGCTTTACTAACTTGGGAGAAAGTATGACAACCCAGGTCAGCAGGAGGCTTCAATGTAATGGACATTGGTCTATGGAACAAAGAAGCTATCAACAAGCAATTCTGGAATCTATGCAAAGAAAAGAACAAGCTATGGATACAATGGTACACTGTTACTACATAAAGAACAAACACGTATTGGAGGTGCAAATAAACCAAGCATCATGAATCATGAGGAAGATACTGAAAGCCAAAGAAAACTTTGAGAAAGTAGGATACAATTATGAAGATCTCAGGCAGATACAGACTTGCTCTATCAAGCACATGTACCATAAACTGCAAGGAGAATTTAACAAAGTGACCTGGAGAAAATTGGTATGCAACAATGCAGGATGTCCTAGGTGGATATTCACGCTACCTTTGGTAGTAAATGGCAGGTTGTACACAAAGGATAGATTGCTAAAGTGAGGTATTCAGAATGATCAGACATGTCCTTTATGTTCACATGCAAATGAATCTATACAACATCTATTCTTTGAATGCCAATATGTTGTTGAGCTATGGAAAAGGATGCTCAACTGGCAAGGTATTAGCAGAAACATCTATGGTTGGGCTGAGGAATTGCAATGGGCAGAAAACTGGGCAAGAAACAGAAGTGCAAAAACAGAGTTATTCAAGATTGTATTAGCAGGCTGTGTATATTTTGTGTGGCAGGAAAGGAATGCAAGACTATTTCAAGCCAAAGCGAGGAACTGTGAGATTCTTAGCAAGCTAATTTTACAAGAAGTGCATTGTAGAAGCAACAAAAAAATAGAAAAAGTTCTAAGTATATTGGACTACTATCTAAAGTAATAGCTAGAGTAGCAGAAGGATAGCAAAAGTGTGGATAGGGGAGGAAGGAAAGTAGAAAACTTTTTAAGGGTTCTGTATTGAGTGTAAATATTTTCCTTGGTATGTATAAAAGTTTAATTACCAAAAAAAAATGTCTTTTTCCTTATCGGGAAACTCGACTTTTAGGACTCTACAATGAATGACACAATTGATTGTGGGTACATAAAATAGGAGGTCTCCATTCTTTTGACAAGGTCAATGAGTATTTTATTTTTTAATAGTGAACTTACTAAAATGAATTTATGTTAATTAAATTAGTAAAGTTTGAATATGAGATGATGAAATCTATATTATATATATAAAGCAAGGCCATTGAGGGATGATGTGGCATTCTATATTTTCAGTAATATCACTTTTCTTTTATCTCCTTTTTTTTTTGGCTTTCTTTCTTTTTTCCGTCCATTTTGAGTAGTAACTTATTAAAAAAAATGGTTCATTGGCCATTTTGAAAGAACACGTCTTTTCCCATCCATTGTCAGTAGTTATATGTGTTTTGTTAGAGTATTAGATAAAGGCTGATGCTATCGTTGGGCCATTATTGTAATTAGAATTGGCACATGTTGTATTGCTTTGTAATTGGGTCACCGGGTCAATGCCCACTATTTATAACTGACCTTCTCATTCTTGTAAAGATAGATTTTTATTTTTTACTCAATAGAAAATATCTGCTTCTCTCGAAGCTTCTCTCAGGTCATGAACCATATCTTAGATTTTGTCATTTCTTCTCTAAATCTCTATACTTAACATGGTATCAGAGCATAGATTCTGGTAGATCATCTCACTTGCTTCCGATCGATGTTAACCTTTTCAGTTTTCATCGAGTTTTGATTTTGATTGCATTTACACTAGATTAAGGTTTTGGTTGGATTTTCGCTGGATGATTTTATCGCATTGTTGCTTATTTCTGTTGGATTTTAATTTTTTATGGATTTTTTGACTGGGCCTGGCTGATCTATTCGTCTATTTTGAGCTAGAGTTTTCTCATCGGTATTTTGCTGCGTCGTCGGAAGTTTTGTTCACAAGGCTGTTCTCTTTTCAGTTGCAAAAGAGGGGGTAAATCAGTTTCTTCTTCATATCTCATAAGTTTGTTGATTATTTTGTTTGTTGTGATATTTTTCTCTCAATGACGAATGCTAATCCTGCAATTACACCTTTCTCTTCCTCTACTGTATCTCGTACTGTGTTTCATGAGGATGACTTTACACATCCGTGTCATCCACTATATGTGCATCCATTAGATGTGCTGGGAACCTCCTTGGTTTCTAGTCCGTTTGATGGAACCTGCTATGGAAGCTAGAGGAGAAACATCTTAGTTGCTCTCTCCATTCGTAATAAACTTGATTTTATCAGTGGTACCTCTACAAAGCCACTTCCTGGGTCTCCTCTGGCACGCCAGTGGAAAAGATGTAATGATCTTATGGTGTCATGGTTGGTTAATTCCCTATCAAAAGAAATATCTCGTAGCGTAGAGTATTCTGAATATGCTAAGGATATTTTGTGTAAATTAGAGGAGAGATATGGTAAGGCTGATGGGGCCAGAGTCTTTGAACTAAAGAAAGAGTTAGCACATATCTCTCAAGGGTCTTTAGACATAGCTTCTTATTTTAACAAAATCGAACAACTCTGGGATGAAATAGCATATTATAAGGTAGAGTTTGTACTTGTGGGGGTAAAGCTGCCGAGGATGAAGAGCGGAAGGTGCATCAGTTCCTTATGGGTCTGAATGATACCTACTTGCAAACTCACAACAACATTCTAATGATGAAACCACTTCCATATGTTGGAAATGTGTACAACATCTTATTATTTGATGAGAAGCAGAGGCAGATATCTTCTGCCTCCCAATTCTCAACACAATCTGCTTCTTTCAATGTTGGGACTTCTAAGCCATCATTTCCCTCAAAGGTTTCTTTTGGGGCTTCCAAGACTTTCTTTATCTGCAAATATTGCAAGAAGCCTGACATTCTATAGACAAATGTTATAAGTTGCATGGATATCCTCCCAATTTCAAGTTCAACAAAGGACCTCCTCCTCACAGAACTGTTGCACATGTTGAGCTTGAATCCTCTGGTGGTTCCTCTGTGCCTGGTGGTTCTGATGGTCCAATTGAGCATGAGGAGTCCTCTGTGATACCTGGCCTTACCAAGGATCAATACTCCCAGCTGATGATCGTATTACAACAATCCCAAATCCCTGCTTCCCCATATTCTCCACCTTTCTTGGCCTCTACTAACTTTGCTGGTAAGCTCATGCCTTATGAGGGTGATTCTTATGGAGCTTGTATGTTGTCTAGTGTGAATGGCATTGTTTGAATAATAGACTCTGGTGCTACTGATCATATAATTTCTATTAGGAGTTTGCTTTTTAATATAATCACTCTTCCTGTTCCTTATCTTGTGTCTTTCCCAAATGGGTACAAAGCAAAGGTTACCAATGTTGGTTCTTTAGCTTTATTCCCTAGTTTTAAACATAATCTCATATCTGTCGAGAAACTTTTGTCTCATTGTGATGATGTTGTATAGTTTACCAAGTCTGCTTGCACTTTCCAGGGCCCTTCAGTGAGGAAGTCATTGGTGCTTGGTAGACTGGACAATAGACTTTACAAGTTGTTTCACCATGTGATATCTCTTGTTGAGTCTATTAATGTCAATTCTTGTTCTTCCGTTGTTTCTTCTTTACCTGTAGTGTCTACTAATGTTGTTGCTGATAATTCATCTATAAATACCATTGTTAATTCAAATATAGTGAATAATTTTAATGTTGTTTGGCATTATAGACTTGGACACATTCCCT